AAGTTGAAACCATGGACCCCCAGTATGGGCCCTTAACCCTGGGATCCATATACACCTGCTATATACCATATATGTACCCTGAAGGGTCCCTAGAAAGGCCTAAGGTTCCACATAAGGGGCCCATGCTTCTAACCTTGGATAGTAGCTCTCACGGGGGAACCCGGAGGAACACTTTTCGTAATTGACTCAGGCTTCTGTATGAAGCGTTCAATAACTCGGCTGCACCACGGCCCTAAACCCTAAACCCAAAACCCTAAACCCTGTTGGGGGTCTGTGAGGGTTTCAGGTTGGTCCTCAACCCTATCAACCCGAAATCCTAGCAGCAGCGGTCTCTTCGATTTTCTCTGCGGATGCGAGCATCGTTGGTTCTGCCGCTCCGCGACGGTCTAAAGTTTAGGGCTTAGGGTTTAGAGGGAATGGCGATCTCAAGAATGTGATAGTTGCAATGATCACGGTCCGGGTTGTCATACTGTAGAGAGGCTCGATTCTGGTACTGCTGAATCACATGTGCAAACCAACCTGGGTCTTGAAGCTGCTTCATGGTAGCAATAGAACAAAAAAGAAAACAACATAACATTACGGCAAATTATTCTGGCCCCTTTGATATCCTAAATAGGCATTCCTGAGACTCTGCACGGAGTAGGCACAGCCATGCGAAGGCCCTTCAATCTAAGAAGGACCTTCCCGAACGAACTAAGACGACGGTATTCGCAGAGGTGCCTAGCACCTGAAGGCATCAGGCCTCTGTTTAGGGTTCGGTTTAGGGTTTAGGGTTTAGGGTTTAGGGTTTAGGTCTTTGATAGCACGATTCATGAGCCGTCTGCGGCTGTGGGTTTAGGGTTGGGGTTTCAGTTTATAAGCTGTGGTGTTCAGAAGAGGAGGTCGTCGCTGGGTGGTTTGAAAATTAGGGCTTATATACAAGGTTTGGTTTTGGGGCCAAGGGTTTGGGAGTTGGGGCTTAGGGCTTCGCGTTTGGGGTTTCGGGTTTGATTTGTCGGGCCTTTGCCGCTATGTTGCCGTGCAAACAGCACCGGTGAGACAGATGCAGGACAGATCTTCCTGGCCTGCAGGCAAGAACGACCTTTGCCCGTACAGAAGTTATGTCCAACACGTGCATAAATACTCCTATCAATCCGATAACCTCGGCTTACACATCTGGGCCTTGGGCTTAAAGTCTTAGGAAACCTCAAAACCATATAGGGCCATAGCAGTTGATGATCGTGCAGTTGTGGCGTGGGGCATCCCGCTCGTACGCTGCGTGGTCGCTACCTCATATGGGAGTTTCCGAAATTTAGGGGTACCTTATTTGGGGGTCCTTATAATAGGGATCCTATTATTTAGGGTACTATATTAGGGTCCCCTATTTTCGGAAACCCCCATATAGAAGCTTTAGCTTTCAAGGGAACCGCAGTTTGCAGCCTCCCATTCCCTCCGCGAACGGAGGATTCCGATGAAAAACGATGGAGAAGACAGCCTCAGGTGCTTTACACTTCATACACGGGCCCTTATTGATTAGAATAGGCTTCCTTGCATTAGGAGTTCTAATGTAAGGGCCTTAACCATCAGAACAAGCTGCATAACGCTGCTATACTTTATAAGGAACGTAAAGAATAGTATGGGCAAGCATTGTCTATTCAACCTAGAAATTAGCCAGGGTGACTTTACTTAGGGTGTACGGGTGTTTCTATAAATCGAGAGAACACTCAAACACAAGACTTCTTCGACACGTATCTGCATGGAAATGCGACACCAGCAGGTTGAATCCTTTGAGCGCCATGTTTGAACAAACATCTCGACCATTTGCACCTCATCTGAAGACTTCAACCCTGAAACCTACACCCCAAACCTCGCAGATCCCCGGAAGGAATCCTTGGTTGTCAGTACTCCGTGAACAGGCCAAGCCTCACAGATCTCTTAAAGAATCAGCACCTTCATACGCCCCCCGTGTGGAGCTCTCTTGGAACAAGCCCTGTGTGCACCAGAGGCTGCCCCAAAGTCATCCTAAGTTCCGACCTCTGGATGTCTTTGCGAAGATCTTAGGCTGTTCATTCTAGCGTTACCCTAAGCCTCCAGATACCTACTATATCGGGCCCTAGAGGCTCTAGTACCCTCTATAGTAGGTACCTGGAGGGTTTGGGTTATGGTTGAAGGTTTGGGGTTTTATGGGGCTCAGGACTTTTCAAACTCAGCGCTTGAGGCTTGTAGAGCATCGGGTCCATTGTGGGTTGAAGCATTTAAAATCCCTGGCTTACGGCATATGCCGTAGCAGTAGCAGTAGTAGCAGGAGTAGGCAGGGCAGGAGGCGAAAAGTACGGGTAGTACGAGGATCAGAAGAAGCAAGAGGAATAATAGGGAGGAGCAGCAGTAGTAGGAGCAGGAGTAGGAGGAGGAGGAGGAGAAGTAGCAGTCCTCGTCGTCGTGCTGGTCGTCGTCGTAAGCCCTCCGATGGATTTGCAATGAAACCCAGGATAAGATCAACCTAGTGTATCCTGCTGATGAGTAACTCCCTGTCTCTCAAGGCCTGAGTAAGAGGGTCCCTAGAAACAAGTTTCGAAAGTAAGGGAGGGAGTCGTATTGGCATTACACGATTCACTGCGCCCCCGTGTCCCGTGAATCGTGCAGGCGACGCATTGCCTGCATGACTAACTCCTGCTACATGGCCCAACTCTAACACACCGAAACCTCAATCCAGCGTTCAGCGGGTCAGGGTTTCCTGAACCGTACCTTTGGGGTCAAACCCTACCCCTTTTTTAGGGTACCTACTTTCTTGTATACCAACTTCTGACCATAAAACTAGGTACCTTACCAAAAAAGGGGTAGGGTATGACCCTATGGGTAGGCCCTGCAGGACCGTGGTTTCATGAGTCTCAATGCCTGGAGAGTGAAGCTTCGAGTTCGCAAAGAAGCACCGGTCGTTCGGACTCGGGGCAGAGAGGGTTTCCTGTTCCGGCGCCACAAGATGAAGCAAGGGAAGGGTTTAGGGTTTAGGGTTTAGGGGCAAAGGAAGGGAAGAGAGTAGGACATACTCTGAGCCTTCAAAAGCAGTATTCTGATTGAGGACCTTCAGAACATAAATGCCCAGAAATTGCAGGAGCCTTTTTACAAGGACCCCGAAACAAGCTGCCCTTATGGAACAAAAGCATCCAGGGGTGAGGACGCGAGTCTATGGGGCGGATCGCTACACATCTTCCTTACTTAGCTTCGAGTGTCTGAGGATATGTTAGTATGAAAAGCTGGGAATGTACGGAGATAGCGACGTCATCATGTAGTCTGAACTCTATACTGGACACTACGTCCCCTTCGCCTGTATTAGATTTGTTATTAGCACGGCCCCTATATGTAATCTATGAACCAAAATGTCCAAAACGCAAACGGTAACTCAACATGCTCGTGTAGATGCTTTTGCAGCTTCCGGGATGCATCGGCTGGGGCTTGTTAGGGCTTAGGGATGTAGGATTTGGGGTTGACCCAGAGCTCGAACTCGGTGGCAGCTTCCCCGATGATGGTGCTGACCCCGCTTTTGTTCTATCGTCTTCTTGACATGAACGAGCCTTAGCAGACACGGTCCTTGGTGAATAAGACACACCACAGGACAGAGCGCACACGAAACTCTGTGCCGTAGCCATGCTAGGACGAGACCCTGGTCTTATTCCGAAACGAACCCCACGTCCCCCGAGTCCAGCTACCACGAGCTCCCCCTTGGGATGCTCGTAATTTCCCAAGTCTCTTCGCCAGAGGCCAACGAGGGAAAAGGAAAAGAGGCGGTGCCCAGAAACGGCCCACTGCTGCTTCAGAGGCCTTGTCTTGGTGATTACTATATTAACTTAGTAGCCTGCATAAGTAAAGTCATGCTTCCCTCCGTATAATATACCCCAGCCCAACAGCCCGGTTCTATGCATTTCGGCTCCTATCTAAACATCTCCTTGTACCTATATACCTCTCTGTAGATCTATCGGTTTATATATACAGATATATGTTTCAAAACTATATCTATATATATATATATGTATATATATATATATATATATGACATATATATATATATATACACACACACGTACGGCTTAGGGTTTGGGTCTCGGGATTTACTGTTGACGATCTCTCCAAGGCTCACCTTGGGGCCCCTCTTTTTGGGGCGAGGCACCGCTGGGCTGCTGAGGGTTTCGGTTCAATCTTGTGGGTGAGGGCTGAAGGGTTAACGCTTGCAGGGTTTAGGGTTTAGGGTTTAGGGTTTAGGGTTCAGGGTTTAGGGTTTAGGATTCGTGCTTAGGGTTTAGGTTGTAGAATTTAGGGTTTGGGCTTTAGGC